GTTGGTTGGTTGGTTGGTTGGTTGGTTGGTTGGTTGGTTGGTTGGTTTGTTGTTGTTGGTTGTTGGTTGGTTGTTGTTGTTGTGGTTGTTGGTTGTTGGTTGTTGTTTGTTGTTGTTTAATTGTTCCCAACCTGAGGTGCAGAGTCCAGACCTGTGTGTGAGTCAAAATGCCACAGTTTAGAAACACACCTCAATCCTGAAAGTACTGCGGCATGTATATAAAGCATTATAAAGCAGTAAAACCATGTAAAACCAATTATTTTCTGTGAGTGGCATCAAAATTCTTATGCCAGTGGAGTCTCTAGGTATTGCTGTATGGGAAGTGTGGTGCTACTTGTGTTAGATAGGCCTGTGTTCTCAACACCTTGGCTTCTAAACGATTTGGCCAGCCTCGGACAAGGCCGGGTGTCTTCTTCTGGGCTTCTAGAGTTTGAACCTGGCGATGTGGTGGAGCCTGGAGCCCAGTTCGCCTGTCTTCCAGAGACAGACGGACCGAGGCCTCGGAGGACATGTAGAATAGAATGTAGCTCCATGTCCCATACTCAACCCTTATCATCATTCCTAGCACCAGTGGAATCACCGACAAAGGAGAACATTCAGAGTCAATTACGACACACGCTTGAAAACAGGGCCCGGAGCCATCGTAAAGGTTGTTTCCCTCTCTCTCTCTCTCCCAGTCTTACCCCGCCGAGCGTTTATTCCTGAAGATAGATACGTCAGAAGCATGTGCATGTGTCATTGGTTTTCACTGTGACTGAAGGCCAGCCGCCTCGCTTCTGCATGGTTTCTATCTCTTTGGGAGGGCACAGACAGATGGGCACAGCATCGGTCCTGCTACGACGCGTAGCTAGACGCGTGCCTTTCGCGCAGCCTTGCGATGTGTCGAGGTATTTCAGCATCTCACAAAATGACTGGATCCTCGCCAAGGCAGCTGGTGAATTGTGGTGAGCTGCCTTTTTGTTGTGGTGAACCGCCTTTCTTCCTGCCTAAAGAAAACAAGGAGGGCAATATTTCAAACCCAGTGTTTGGTCACATGTCGAAGCCCTTCCGATCAAGAAAGATGGTGAACAGTTTCCACGTGTGGCATGACAGTGTGACTGTCAGAACCTCCACCATCGATAAGTCCAAGTTCCTGCCCCAAAAATTATGTGGATGCCAAAAAGCCCTGCAGCCTGGCAGGTGCTCAGTATTAATGCCTCGGGGACCTACAACCTGGACTGCAAGCCAGAGGTCCCTCCAGTGCCGCGGCAGAAACCGAGGCCTCACTTGTGTCTTTTTTGGATGGAGGAGATCGGAATGGTACTTTTATTTGGCATCATGTGGCCCTATGGCACGGCATGTGATTTTTGTGCTCCATCTGCTCCATTAGCCAAGATTCTGTCAATTGCTTCGTTGATCGGCGGGGTGATGTCTTTTAGGCGTACATATGTTCAATCGGATGCTTACTGGTAGAGTTTCCGTCGGTCGGTGCTTGTTGATGTTTGACTACACCCGCAACGAAGGGACCCGGCCATCTTTAAACCGGCATAAAGTACTGGTGCAAATTCCACTAGTTTGTTACGAACTTCATTGCAATCACAATCAGTTGCACTCAATTTGGTTGCGCCCACGCTACTTGTGCATCCAAAGACCAGCATAGAAGCTGCTACTGTGTTCCATCATAGGCCACCGACCGAAAGGCAAGTAGACAAGTCCTGCAGCACTTCCCATTGTGAATGGTTCATGTCACACAGGTGCTGAGGCCAAACAAAATCGAGGGAATAGCACAAAACCATACAAAACCGGAAAGTCTTACACATTAAAGAAAACCGGATCCAAAGTCCGAGTCTTTATGAGGATTTCAACGTGTTTGTGCCAAGGTTGTGCTCTGAAACTAATTCCCCCCCAAAGAGGACTACACCCTGGAAGACTAACATGGACCCTGAAAACCACTGGTTGGTACTGGTAGAGGAAAACAATCTTCCAAGAGGCCATTGTCAGGGTCCATGTTAGTTTTTGGGAGTGTTTTACATCCTCGGAAGAGGGCGGTGGACCGCCTCAAAGACCGCCAGCCCGAGACCGCCAGCCCGAGCCCGCCCCGCCGGTGTCGGCTCTGAGGAGCGCGTGCGCGCCCAACGTGGGAGCGACCTGGTCATCAGCCCCGTGTCGGTGTCCAAGCCTCGCAGCCGCTCGGAGGCACCAGGAGCAGCGGAGCAGGTGGTGAAACAGTCTGCCTCAGAGACCCTCCTTGGTCAGGTGTCTCATGTACCATCTTATACCCAAACTGGGTGGTGCTGGGAGATGGGAGATAGGAGTCGGATATGAGACACCTAGCGAACGAAGATGAGACACACCAGCGCAGCCTACACCACCAGGAGGAAATATAAGTGAGTGGATCAATTGCGCCGCACTGCTACCCTTTGCCAATCAGCACCCTTTGGAACTCCTGGTATGATTGAGTAGCCATTGGCTTGGACTTTTCAAGGGCCTCATTTGCCCATAGCTTTGTGAGCTATACTGTGAGTGCCTATTTGGCCGAAAGGTGCAGGACAATGCGGTGCAGGGTCAGGAGAGATGGAACCACGGAGTCGGGCTTTGTCGTCCAATTTCGACTGAGCTACGGGGAGCCTTTTGAACGGTGCAACTGTTGACATTTTTGCATTTTGACTGCTGCTATGCTTTCTCGTTTCGCTGCATGTCCGTGATCTGAATCTTAAGGGGAACCTTGCTATCGCTTGATAGGAACCTTTGGAAAAAACCATGAAACACCTGGTGGGTGCTCGAATTTTCATCTCAAGTCTTCCATTTCTCCACTTCACTGCACTCCTCGAGGCTTGCGGCAGGCCTGGGGCCCCGATCCGGTGTTTTCTGGCGCTGGGTGCCGTAGAGATTTGGCAGGTTGTGGCACCTATATGTGGCACCTGGTACACTATTGTGTGACCTGGATCCAAGAGCATCCACAGATGATGGACTCCCCTTATTTGAGCCATCAGTTTCCTGGCTGTGCTTTGAGGAAGAAGCCCCTCCTTCGGTTTTTTTTCAGCACCAACTCCGGGTTTAAAAAGCATCCATCCCCTTGGAAGGTCCAAGAAGAGGCCAAGAGAAGTGATATAGAACATTAATGAACATTATAGTTATATATAGTTATAGGGAATAACTTACTCAACAGTTGCCAATGTTCAATTCCAATCATTTTGAGTCAGCAATCTTACTTACTTAGAGGAAATATCTAGTGAAGGAAATAGCAGGAACATGAGAAGGATATGACATTGACAAAAAGACGTGACGTGAACACAATACAGAACATAAAAAGGGAAAGGCAACAAATCAATTAAGGATAGACAAGGAAAACCACACAAATGCCCTAAGGTAGGGAAATGTGCGGACACTTTTGGGGAGGATATGGTGGACTTGGTGTGTCATCAAGTGGGTAATCATTGATCCTGACATTCCTTACTTGACAAGTGATGTAGATGTATAACCAATGTTGAAATGGCATGAATTTGAGATGTTTGGAAGTCCCATGCGGCCATTGATCTTATAGATGACTCACAGGACTGAGTTGAGATTTCCACGTAGCTGATGCATGCATACATACATACATACATACATACATACATACATACATACATACAT